TAGGTTGCTAGATGATCGTTTGTATTCATTAGCGAACCATTGTGATTTGTTTAAGTTAGCCCCGAATCCTGTTTAAGTGTTTTATGAAAGTTAAATGAATGAAATGAGTTGCTTTATATTCCGTTGTGTATTGATAAGAAAGAATAAGAATGAAGAAAAAGTTCAAAAATATGGCTAAGTATAGAAACGGACTTAGAGGATGTAGTGGGACACAGCCGCAGTACGGTTTACCGGGTTGGGTTACCACAAGTTGGTATCAGAGCGTTTTAACGCTTCTAGGACTGAAATTGGTGACTGCTGTTGTTTGTTTGTTTGTTTGGGGTTTATGGGGGTCCGATCTATTCTTCACTGCCAAGGTCTCGCGGTAGGTTGTTGTGTGGTATTGTGAAACATGTTTTGAGTTAGCTTCGGCTAACTGGCATTGTGTACTTGCAGATGGTTGATACCAGAAGAACCGTGAGAAACAATGGGGACAACCAGGCTGCGAGGTCTGTGAACTCAGTCAACGGTGATGTTGCTGAGAGGGCAAGGGAAGCCGAGAGACAGGCAGCTGCGGTTGCGATGAGAGGCAATACACATCGGTACCCGCCTCAGGACAGAGGGAAAACAGATCGGGATGAGAGGCAATACACATCGGTACCCGCCTCGGCTCGGATAAATGGACTGAGACGGATCGGAAAGTCAGGGCAGACGGCGGCAGAATAGCAATGGTTATGAAAACCCTAATTTCAATCTAAACATAAACTAGAGAGAAGGAAAAGAAGAGAGAGAGAAAAAGCAAACCTTTTAGTTTTTGGAGAAGTGAAGCTATTGAAGAACTGAAGGCGAGCCTCGGTTTTTATAGCCAATCAGACGAGACGTTTACACTTCCCGAGACAAAATTAACTCTCACAAAGAATAATGGGCTTGTAGAGGCCCAAACTTATTGAGACTTATGCCCAATTCAAAGATTTGGAGATACCAAAAAAATCCTAAAGCATTAATAAGAAACCGAGGCGAAAAAAGAGATATCTTTTGAGGACTGAAGCGAATATCTCAAAAGCACAATAGCTCGTCTCGTCAATCTTGAAGCAAATGTCTCGTCCAAAGAGCATAAACACCTCGGCCAATCGAAGTAAAATGCCTCGACTAGGCAAGCTAAACGCCTCGTCGTCAGAGCATAAACACCTCGGCCAATTAGGCAAACAGAATGCCTCGGTTAATAAGGCAAATAGAACGCCTTGGCAAGTAAGGCATTAACACTTCGTCCAGTGAGGCAAACAGAATGCCTCGGCCAGCAGGGCAATGACGCCTCGGTCAGTAAGGCGTGAACGCTTCAGCCATCTAAGCCAAAATACCTCGGCAAGGCCTAGCCGAAATGCCTCGGCCAGTTAAGCTTAAACGTCTCGGCTAGGTGACCGAAGCGTTCAGGGCAGTCAGAGAAAAATGCCTCAGAACATTGACCTCGCCTCTTCTAACAGCTCGTCATTTGCACTTATGAGTCTAACGAGCTGGGGGGGCTAACAGTTGGGGTCAGTTTTCACCCTGACGAGATCAATCGAGAAAATGTCTAAGTAGGGAAACAATTCTTGACTATGTACGAAATATGCAAGAAACCGAGCCGTGCACAGTCTGTGTATGAGTCCGAGCTGAATGCCTCCGTGCACATTTTGTACATAGGTCCGAGCTGATTGCCTTGGTGCACAGTCTGTGCACGAGTCCGAGCTGAATGCCTCGGTGCACATTTTGTGCATCGGTCCGAGCTGAACGCCTCGGTGCACAGTCTGTGCACGAATTCAAGCTGAATACCTCGGTGCATAAATTATGCAGAAACCGAGCAGAACGCCTCGGTGCACATATTGTGCAGAAACCGAAATGAACGCTTCGGTGTACATATTGTGCAGAAACCGAACTGAACGCCTTGGTGCACAAATTGTGCAGAAACCAAGCTGAACATCTCGGTGCACATTTCGTGCACGAGTCCAATCCAAACGCTTCGGTGAAGATTTTGTGCATCAGCCGAGCTGAATGTATCGGTGCAGAATTTGCGCATAGAGCCGATGAGAACTGAAGCGCGGATAAAACATGCACGAGTTATGCACAAAACCGAGCTGAACCGAACCGTGCATGATTTGTGCATGAATCAAGCCAAACCGTTGCCTCGGTCAGAAACTATACACAAACCGAACCAAACCAAATATGCTCAGAGTCGAGCCAAACTAAAGTATTTATGGACTAAGTCAAGATGAAGCCCAAAACCAAGCCCGAGGCGAAAGCATTTGGATTACGGGCCGAGTCCAAGCCCACAAGGTGGTCCGAGGCGACATTTACTCTAGAAGACGAAGCCTTGTGGAGGGGGTCGCCGTCAAGAGAGAATGGAAGGAAGATCTACAGAATATACCACTAGATTCTCGCTTAGGCGGTAGAGAAGTCGTATAAATAGATAACTTAATTCATTCGTAAAAGGACAAGCTTTTTACCTAGCAAAGCTCTAGCAAAATACTTGTACCAAAAGCTTATCTAAGCGGCAATAATAAAATCACCTTCTTTGGATCCTTGTTCTCTCGTGTTTACTTTAGAATCTTTATGTCCTCTTTTATTTTTAACAGACAAATTCTATTGTGTGAAATCCAGTCCACTAACGCAAGTTAAGACTGATCTATTCTTATGGTACTAATCCTTTTACTAATTATTAATTTAGGATATAATCATCATTAGTAAAAGATAATCATCAAACAACTAACGCAAGCTTCATAGAACCAATAAGCACTCTAGACAACAAATATTCCCATAGGCTAGGCACAAAAATCTCTTATAAAAATTCATTCAAGCATTTCATCAAACACCTTATTGGCATGGAAATCCTTATGGTCTATATCAGCAAAATCAAGGCTAATCTAGCATTAAACATATTAAACAATAAATCATGTTGAAAGATCAAAGTCTTAGACATCAAAAACCATCATTAGAATCATCTTAATCTACCTCATTCTTAGATCCAAAGAAAACTACTCACTACTCATATTTAAACTCATAAATCCAAAGTTATAAATATGGATAAACATGATTAGGAAGGCAAACGATGAAATATTAATGAAGATACACACTTACAGTTGCATAAAATCTCATACAGAATATTTTCAGAACATAAGAAAGCTTTTTCTAAAGAAAGAACAAGAATAAAGCTTAGGCACAAAAATTAGGTCTTTGAACTTCTATAGTAAACAATAGCCGTCCTTGGTCAACTCTGGTCAAAGACCAGGTAAAGGCTTCATATCAGTTTGTTGCACATGTCACACATCGATATAGCAAGTCGATATGGTCTCCTGCCCCCTTCATATCGATGTGTAACATCGATATGGTCTCATCGATATGGAAATTCGGACTGATAGACATGTGCTTGCTAGAACCGCCGTAACTCCCTAACCACTGATCCTAATGGCATGAATGTACCACCCAACGAAAGCGGATTCAATTATCTACAACTTTCATGAAGAAATCGGAAGCTGAATCGATACGGAAAATCTTCGTCTTGTCCAATCTTTGAGTCACTTCAGGCGGTATGGACTTGTATCAGCTGCAACATATCCATATGGCACGCCAATATGGTCCACTGCCAGTTCTGTACCGATTTGTGATATCGATATTCACACATCCATATGGACTCCCCTGTCTTAGCTGTATTGGTTTGTTGCAGAGCTACAAACCTATATGCACAAGTTGATATGATGTCAGGCGATGTCTTCTTGCTTCTCCTTCTTTTCTCTTAGGTCCTAGCTCATCCTCCAAGCTTCAGAAAGTTTCCATAGGATCCAAATCACCTGAACTAACACTCCAGATACAATGATATGCAAGAAAATGCAAGACTAAAGATAAGACTCACTAACTCTAAAATGGATGCAAACTAGATTATATGGACAAGTTATATGCATAAAAGAATGAAAATGCTACACTAAATAGATGCTAAAATGGTGTAATTAAGGCAATTATCAAGTGGCGGTGAAGAACTTCGTCTGTACCTCCGGTAAGTCTTCTTCATCTCTTACATTTCTCTTGTCTCCTTGGGCCTTTGACAATATCCCAGTTCTTTAGCTAGTGTTGCTAGTATTAGAGTTCTTGCTGTCGTGGCTTGTTTGAGGATGGTCTCGGGGTATGTTGTGTTCATCGCAAACATTACATTTGGAGGAGAACACTAGGGGTTCGTGTGTTGTTTGTCTCTGTGCTAGCTGACACCGGAAAAGATCTGGGTAAAGTGAGTAAGCGTACCCTCTGATTCTCTAATGCATGTTGTTCTGGCTTAGTGTTGGCCTTTAGGTTTAGTTAATTGAGTATCGCTACTTAGATGGTGAGAACGTTCGAGCCTCTTTCAGCATCTTAGAGCTCCATCTCTTTGTTCGGGCATCCGGTAACGTAGTGATATACTCAAGGTTGAGCTTCTACTTTATCGCGGGCTCAAAAGCTTTATCGCTATTTAATCCTTTTCGTAAGAGGATTTGAAAAAGGATCGATTGTTTTACACTTACATGTTTTTTACTTTTTTTGTTTGAGACCGTTTTAGGATATGTGATAGATTTTCGCTTATTTCAAATTTCTAAAACCTAAACATTTAATTTCTTAATGCTATTTACATTCTTAGCAAAAAAAAAAAGAAAGAAAAAAAGATTGGTAGTAATGAAAACATGCTCCAAATAAACATGCTCTACACGTCTTGGTATTGAAATAAACATGCTCTTCACGTATTGTTTGTCGAACGAGTGTGTCACCACTCACCACCCAAAATTACTTACAGTTATGAGTAAATTTGAATTTTTGAATTATTTAGTTAACATTTTCTCCTTTCTCCAATATATTACTTATACAAAATGAATTTTCTTTTGTAACTCACTGAACAGAGACGACGAAGCGACGACTTCGCTTCCTATTTATTATAAGACGACTTCCCTCCCTAGTCCTTATCTATTATAAGACGACTTAGCTCCCTAATTATTATAGGACGACTTAGCTCGCTCTTTATCATATAAATGAAGATACGACTCCTATTTAATCACGCCATCACTTGCATTGGTAAAAAATATCTGAAAACAACAAGAAGTAGTCAAATATCAAATATGGATCTCTTCTTGATTATAGCCGCCGTGGTAGCCGCCATAGTAGCCTTCTTATTCCTCTATAAAACCACCAGGAAATCTCTCCGGCTGCCTCCCGGCCCAAGAGGTCTTCCAATAATTGGAAACCTCCATCAGATGGAGAAATTCAATCCTCAACACTTCCTTTTCCGCCTCTCCAAGCTTTATGGCCCAATCTTTACAATGAAAATGGGAAGCCGTCGCCTGGTGGTGATCTCCTCCGCTGAGCTAGCCATGGAGCTCCTCAAAACCCAAGACCTCAATTTCACTGCTCGTCCTCTCCTGAAAGGGCAACAAACGATGTCATATCAAGGCCGTGATCTTGGTTTTGGACAGTACACAGCGTACTACCGTGAGATGAGGAAGATATGTATGGTGAAACTCTTCAGCCCAAACCGAGTAGCAAGTTTCCGACCCGTTAGAGAAGAAGAGTGCCAACGGATGATGGACAAGATTTACAAAGCCGTCGAACAATCAAGGGCCGTTGATTTAAGTGAGCTTCTCTTGTCCTTCACTAACTGTGTTGTCTGTAGACAAGCTTTTGGGAAGCGCTACAACGAGTATGGGACCGAGATGAAGAGATTCATTAGCATCTTATACGAGACTCAAGCTCTTTTGGGCACTCTATTTTTCTCCGACCTTTTCCCTTATTTTGGATTTCTTGACAACCTCACTGGTCTCAGTGCACGTCTCAAGAAAGCTTTCAAGGAGCTCGATGCTTACCTTCAAGAACTCCTCGATGAGACTCTTGATCCTAACCGCCCTAAACCCGAGAGAGAGAGTTTCATTGATCTTTTGATGGTGATCCACAAAGACCAACCTTTCTCCGTCAAATTCACCCACGAAAATGTCAAGGCCATGATATTTGTTCGTAAACTCGCTCACTCACTCACACACTCACCCTTTTTCCAAACATTTTTTTGGGTCTAAGTCCAAACTTTTATTAACTCGTCAAACTCGTGTTAATTCGTAGAGGTCATAGCTTCTATAAAAAAAGACTTAAGTTCAAATTAGGGGTGCAAAAATGGTTGAAAAATTAGAAGAATAAGAGTGCAGGAATTTGATATTTTCTCTACAAAATTATTATTTGAGATGAAATGTTATAGAAAATAATTACACCAATTCTGCTGGAAAAAAAACTTAATTTGTTATAAAAATGAGTGGAATAAATTTATTAATCTATCATTCCTATTCCATTTATCTTTGTTCCATTAATTCTTCTAGTGATAATCATTTGCATCCTAGGTTAGGTTTTGGATAAAAAATATATATTTTCACTCGGTTGTAATTTGATCAGGATATTGTTGTGCCGGGAACAGACACGGCGGCTGCGGTGGTGGTATGGGCCATGACTTACCTCATTAAGTACCCTGAAGTGATGAAGAAAGCTCAAGAAGAAGTGAGGAATGTGGTAAGCGACAAAGGATTTGTCACGGAAGAAGACATACCTAATCTCCCTTATCTAAAGGCCGTTATCAAGGAGTCTCTCCGGCTCGAACCAGTCATCCCCATTCTTTTACACAGAGAAACCATTGCAGATGCAAAGATCGGTGGCTATGATATTCAGGCGAAGACCATCATTCAGGTGAACACGTGGGCAGTTTCTCGTGACACAGCCGCATGGGGAGACAAGCCTAATGAATTCATTCCAGAGAGGTTCATGAACGAGTACAAAGGAGTTGACTTCAAGGGGCAAGATTTTGAGCTCCTACCTTTCGGTTCAGGCCGGAGAATGTGCCCGGCGATGCATCTTGGGGTCGCAACTGTAGAGATTCCTTTAGCTAACCTTCTCTACAGATTCGACTGGAGTTTACCTAAAGGGATAAAACCGGAAGATATAAAGATGGACGTCATGACAGGACTCGCTATGCACAAGAAAGACCACCTTGTCCTTGAACCAAGGACCAACATTTGATCAAGCACGATTGACAATGGCTGTTTTTCAGTGAACGACAACATTTTCATTTTAATGTGTTAACTAATAATGTATTTTCATATGTCCCTCCGTTTTCATTTGTCTCTTTGTCGCTTGTTTCTAACACGGAAGGAAAAAAAATTATAATTATATTGAACTGAATTGCATTGTAATTTTCTGAGTTTTGATTTTCTAAAATAAGTAATTTTATAAGTTTTTATTTTTGTAAATTAAAATATTGGTAAATGAATTTTTAAAATTATTAAGATTATAACTGTTTTTGAACTTTGATATTTTTACTAAAATTTAATTATCATTACTTATTATTTATATAATATTTATTGTTATTTAAAAAGTTTATTTATTCTATCATTTTATTAAAATACTATGTTATTGAAACATGTACATTATTTATAAATTAATTCATAAAATAAAATTTCAAAATACTATAAATACTGTTAGATTCATTTTTACCACGACTAATTTTAAAACTATATGTGGTCACATGGTTTCGGTAGAGCATTGATTTTCTTCCACTAAGCCTGTCATCAATTTTTAGCAGACTGTTCCTGTGCAGATGATGTGCTTACCGAATCAGGTATGCTGTACTGGACTGTATGCTCCCGCAGCGCACCGCATGGATGAAACAAAATGAGGGAGATAAAATATAAAAAATGGCCTAAGGCCAAAGAAGAGAGGGACCGAAGATTAGATTCCTTGGATCTCAGAAGAACCATATTAGGGTGAATCCAAAGAGAACAAGATGCATCCAATGGAGGAGGAGAAAACCTCCGACCTCTGACTTGCTGGAGCTCGCCTAGAGCCCCACGATTCTACGAGAGTAAAGGGGAGGTCCCACCGTTTCTTAGAGAAAACGCCTTCCGAGATAAGCTTTGCTTACCTTCCATTATTCATTGTAATTGCGTGTAGTGAGAGTTCCTACTTCACTCTTTTCATGGTCCACTCTTCATGTTTCCCAGTCCACCAAACATCAGATGAATATCACGATCCTCTGACAGGATATCTAACCTTTAATAACCCTAAAACCTACCTTCCCGAGTACCTGTTCCCGTTAGGGCATGCATTGACTAGAATGTCAGAAAACCTTCGGGAGGGAAACCTCCTTTTGGTCCATCCGGAGGTCCAACTCACTCATTTTCCTAAGACTTCCAGTCCGGAGTAGAATATCATTCATCTATTTCGAGGACAAAACTCAGAGACACAGTTCCACACACCTGGACAATGACATACTCCCGTAAGCATTTTGAAATTTTCTCTCAAACAGTTGGCGCTTGTTAGATGGGAAAGAATGGTATGTAGCTCCACGAAGGAAGTAGTCATTGCGCTGCCAAGCAGCCAATCGCTGGACCAGTCCTGAACCACGGCGGCCAAAGACAGCAGAAGTTGAACTGAGGCACCGCACTATAGAAAGTAAAAAACGCAGCAGAGCGGGGAGGAAACCCCTGTTCCTAGAGTTGAGCCGAGTCACAAGCCTCGGGGGCAACAATCCCCAAAGATGGGCTGCCTCGAAGATGCTCGTCCCGTACATCTTGTCTGCGGCAAAGTCTATCCACGATGGAACTCGAGGCTCGACCAAGCCAAGAGCGCCCGCACCACGGCTCACACCCATCAGTCAAATTAACAACCCCTCCTTGTTATGAGGGTGTGCGAGCAGGAACCGAAAGCTCGTGCCTAGCAGATAAGGCAGGCACCAGGGGCAAACAAATCTCGGAGGCCGAGTTGGATAGTTCTAAAAAGCTAAGAGTGTGCATGAATGTTTGGTTAGTTTTAAAAAGCTAACTGTGGCATTTCTGGTGCTCACCCAGAGCTAGAAAGCCAAGTTCACAAAAAGAAAGAAGTGTATAAAGGAGAAAGCGTAAGTAAGCAGCAGATGCACCATGTTAACAAAGCCTTGAAGCCAGCTAGAGTCGTTTGTTAAAGAATTACGAAATAAAAGAGATGGAGAGTAGTGAACGACAAGTCCAAAAGTGGTTAACCCCCTGAGTGGGAGGGACTGGCGTTGGATCCTGAAATTAGTGTCCAGCTTTCTCCTCGCACTGTCGTGGTGCTATCTCGTGTCCCATTCCATCGAAGTTGGGTGAGCTTGACCTGGTTCTCCGTGAGCACGCTGGCAGCCGCGAGTGTATCGCTAAGCTATGCATTTGCGGCAAGCCCCCGAAAGACAAAGAGGGTATCTCGAAGGAGCCGGATCTCGTAGTCTCAGTCATCCTAGTTGTGGTAACTGCATCCAACTTGGTTCCAAGGCGCCTCATCTCCTTGCCCAGTTCTCCACTGCAGGCCAAAGATTAAGTCTCAGTGAGCCGATTTTGGTTCGTTTTCAAGTCAACATTAAGGCAATTGGCACGGTTGGATAGCTCACGCTCGCGACGTTTAGCCTTCAGCAAATCATGATCAAGCAATGTGAGCCCCCAGAGACCAGGCAAAAGAAAGTGGGACTCAGAATGTTGCCCAATAAGAAAACGTCGTGTAAATTAAGAAGAGCATCCGCCAAACTCACCGTCTCTAAAAGACCTCTGAAACTCTGAGGAAATTTATCGCCATCTCGAGGGTGGCGGGCCAAAAGGCTTGGAAGGAAACACCGGCGGGTTGATATGCGTAAATTCGGGTGTTACTTCTCTCACCCTCGGAGAATCTGAGTCTGAAGAAGAAGACACGTCGAACACTAAACTCATGCGAGCGGAAGGCCCATCCAGGGAAGAGGGGCGATATAAGAGTTATGAGTTTCTTTCTCAATCACCCAGCTTGTACAAATCAGTTGTAGTATAGCATAGGATTTCTATCAATCAAAAGGAGTTATGAATAGATGCCAATAGAATTATGAGCAGAAAACCTTAAGTCAAGTGAATTCAGAGAAGATTTGTTGTTTAACACAACTAAACTATCAACCTAAGTGAATCAAGAACCAATCACAACTAGTTAAAGAAATACCAAGCAATGATCCAATGCAAAACATAGCACTTAAAGCAAATTCAAAATTCAATAAGAGAAAACAAGTTCATAGATGTGGTTATTGCCTTTGGGGAATTCAAAGGAAAGACTTAGGCTATTCCAAACATCATTGACAATGCAAACAAGCAATCAATGCTAATTTCTAGGCATAGAGTTCACAATCAAGCAAGTTAAGTCCAATCTCTTAACAAATAACCCTTTGCTAATCATTCTAACAAAAACTAACTCTCATTAGTGCTAGAACAATCAACAAGCATGCAAAACCAACTCTATTCAAGCCAAAATACTTCTCAGACAGTCAATCTCTTGAGCTAAGACAAGTAAATCCTTTATTAAGATCAACATTTCGTCAAACACTTGGTGGGCATAAGATGAAGCATAAATCTAGATTCATGTGATCAAGACAAATTTAGCCTAAACACAGATTAATAGAGAGGAATCAACCTAACTAAGCACTAACAAATCCTAATCAAGCCTCTAAATTCCCCTAATCTACCACATCTAAGAACCCTAAAAAATCTACTCAGTCATCATCAATGCAAACACCAAATCACAAGAGTAAATGATCTTAAGCATGATTAGGAGGGAGATTGGAGAATGATGCAAATACAAATCTTTAATTAAAAAGATGAATTTTTTTCTTACAAAGATAGAAAAGCAATAAAAGTTTAGCAAGAACTTAAAACCTGCTAAAAACCTTTGCTTCATGGCTATTTATACTAAAAGCCAAAAACACTAAAAGAATGGCAAACTTGTAAATAAAAGGTGTTCAGATAAGGCCAACATCGATCACAAGTGATCGATGTGGATAATCGATGCTGCTTCATAGTGCTTGACATCGATCAGCTGGTGATCAATGTGCTTGATCGACGTGGATGTCCTGAAGTCCCTACCTGTTTACATCGATCTAATCAATGCTGCTAATCGATGTGAGTGTCCTGTCTCTTTACATCGATCACATGTGACCGATGTGGATGATCGATGTGGAACTCCATCTTCTTTGTTACTTTACATTGACCAGCTGTGATCGATGTGGACTCCAGACTTGATTGATGTGAACTACATTGATCACTAGTGATCGATGTTGTTCTGCTCTTGATCGATGCTGCACTAAAAACCATCCTCCTTGGCTCCTTTTGCTCTTCCTTAGCTTAGGCAACTCCTTGAATCATCCTCATGCTTCCTCCTTGCTCCAAACAAGATCTGATCTGATCATACATAAAGTCCAGCTCCATTCAACGTCGCTACAACCTATGATTCATCAGAAGTCCGTTTTTCCCATTTTCGGCCTGTAGACCAGTTTCGGATCTTCATTTGTGATCTCTTCTTGGGAATGAGATACAAGTAATATAGACTTCTCATTGTACTATTATGAGTCCCATGTGACTATATCTAGCCTATTTACTCCATTTTCTTTGTATGATTCATTAGAAGTTTGTTTTTCCAATTTTTGTTTATTAGACCAGTTTCAGATCTTCATTGGGATCTCTTCTAGGAAATGAGATACAATTAATAAAGGCTTCTCATTATACTATTATGAGTCCGATATGACTATTTAAAGCCTATTTATTCTATTTTCTTTGTATGATTCATCAGAAGTCTGTTTTCCTCATAAAAATCAATAATTATATCTAGATAAAATTTTGTAATAAACCAAATCATATCTTAAGAATACTTAAAAAAAAGAAAAAAAAAATTAAATTAAAAAAAAAAACTCCCAGAAAACGTGAAACAAAGAAAACCAATAACATTAAAAGGTTGTGACACCATCACGTGAAGGATTCTTCTTCACGTCATATTTCAAAGTCAGAAATTGGAAACTCCTAGCAGTTGAGGTTTTTTTATTGGATTCTAACTAGTAAACATTCATGGTAAACATTTTCCCTCGACTATTTTCAGATAGTCTTTTAACTAGGAATTACAAATAGTACGTGGATCATGGAGTAAATGAAGTAGTGATCAAATTGATGTATTATTTGTCCAGTTTGAACAAAGCTTAGTTTGGGCTTCGTTAACATAGCTTTTAGACATCAACCATTACATGTACCGCTGGACCCTACCTCCATGGGCATCCAAACTACCTTTGGCCATAACCTAGCCAGAGTTAAGATTAAAATAGATTAGGGTGGTTTAATGATAGATTAAGGTGCTAGGTTGTT